TCCAACAGGATGTGCAGACGATGCCATCTCATCCGACTGCACTCTTTGTGGAAGTCAAATGCTATGTACCTGAACAAAGGCGAATCTTGTTGAACAAAAACATTAATTGAGCCGTAGGTGAAAAGGAACGTGCATAATGGGTGACTCTTACTTGATGGTGCCGTTTCCTAAGCCAGCCACCATCTTTTCAAAAGTCTTCTCCAGTGGTTTTTCTGACCCTTTCTGGTTGATCTGAGAAAAGTGGGGAAAAAAATGAGTAGCCCTATTGAAAGGCATCAATAACCATAAATTAATTTCTTGTTTAATCATGACTTCGTTCTTGTTTCAGTTTAAATTCATCTCTCCTTTTATTATTTAGAATTTTATCTGTGGTTTTATTGTTCTTGTTTTGATTGTAAAGTGTCCTTGAGTGTTTTGAAAGGCGCTTATAAATGAAATGTATTATTATTATTATTATTTTGTATCTGAGTTCATGTTTGTTGTTGTTGTTTTCTAGTTAAGGCCAATTTAAGTATGTTTTGAGTGAGTGGGCACTGCCTATTAAAAAAAAAAAGTCAGACATGAAATACCATCAATGTTATCACCAAAAGTGATTTTTGTATTTTATCATCTTACCAAATTCAAAATAACTTGCTTCCCATAAAGAATGATCTGTGAATCGAAGTGTCTCTGGAATCCATCCAACTGAAGAAATAAAGCGTGGGAAAAGGCAAATCACATGAGTAAACTACCAGAATTAAAGTCTTTAATGAGTACAGCAATGCAAAAGAGTTGTTTACGTGGTTGACTGTTTTGCTGATCTGTGGTCTTGGCTTATACTTCAGGTTGGGCCTTTGGGACCAGTAGAAGGGTATTGAGCCTCTTGTCTGAGAAGGAGATAAAACAATGTATACATATCCCTACATTTCTCCCACCATCCATACAAGTGTGTACAAACAAATGTAAATATTATTGGAGGGGGAAGGGGGGATTTACCACATCCTTGACATTTCTACCTCTTTTCGCTAGCAAGCGACATCTATCAAAGCAGTTGAGCCAAGTGGTTAGGATCATTGCCTGCCACCGTGGGGATCCCAGTTCAAGACCAACCACCCCTAAAATACCCCAGGCACACGACTGTGTTATCTTTGAGCAAGACACAGACATCCTGAGCACTTAAGTAGCCCCACTGCTTCAGTGAGTTCCACAAAGAATGTGTGTTTACTGCGTCCAAGACTGTGATGGGTCAAATGCAGAGGTTATATTTATTTCATGTACATTCATACAAATACTGATTACATCATACAAATATTTCATGACATCTGAAAACGTCAACGGGATTCATCAGCTCACCTGAACAAAAGAAGCCTTCGCACTGTTGTACTGCACTATCTGTTCTGTCTCCACGTAATTAGCGGCATGGCCCTCTGAATCAATGCCTGGTAATGAATAAAGAAGCTACAATCATGGTGGGCTGGGATCCAATGAACCAATATATGAAGTCAACCTAATATCCACTGGATGTGGCTGCATTTCACTTGGGAAAAGAACTTGAGTTAACATGATGTCTGGACATCACAGAAAAACAAGGAAGAATTGTGGCTATTGCACAAATACCGGTAGGTAGGTGGCCAACTTCAGTTTTAATATTCACGCACTGCCATATTCTTATGGACGTCAACTTTATGGCCATGTTAGTATACCAAAAGATTACTGCTGAATGAAATTCCACTTGCGTTCAGTATACGTTGTGGATAACAGAGTATTGTTACCTCTGACGTAGTAGCGGACACCAGCTCTAAAACAGCTCCTTCTGGAGATGATACTCCAGTCAAAAAGTTTCCCATTGATGCAGCTTGACTTCATGATGATGACTGGGAAACGTGTGTTAAGAAATCAGAAGAGTAAAAGTGAGGTATCAGAGCTACAGGCCAAAGATGACGGAGCGCCACCTTCCTGCCATCCAAGTGACAGTCCAAGGTGGACCTTGGACTGATGAGATGACCAACATGGACAAGTTGGTCATTCAAAATCTCACAACCATGTCGATGGTGCATCAAACAAATGAAATAAGCCGGAATTACTGGTTCATATGGGGTCAAATTGCCAGGCGCTCAACAAGAAGTGTCAAATGGGAGGGATAAACAGTTTCTTTCAGATAACAATAAGAGGATACATCCATGGACAACAGGGTACACAAACTTGTGCAACTGTTAAAAAAAAACAAACAAAAAAAAACAGGAAAAATTGTCAGACAGACTTTCAGCACTACATGTCCCAATTCCTCAAAGTTAAAATGTATCTATCCAAGATGAGTGACATGACTCTCACATTTATATCCTATAAGACAAAACAAATGCATTACCTCAGGCTGTGCAATGAATTCCCTCAATAGGTGGCCATTCCAGACAAAACGCTGATCTGCCTGTAATTAAAAGTAAAGTAAGCTGTTCAATTCCACAAAGCTTTTCCTGTTTCATCTAATTGTTTAGCATAGTTATTCCTTATTGGCATGAGGATATGAATGACATGGGGCGGCAGTGGTAGAGTGGTCCACTCCCAGTGTGTTATTAATGTTACATATTTTTGTGTAATACGTTGGGGAAGGGAAGTTGTTAGCGGTCAGCAGTCTGCCATTACAGGGAGCGATCAGAGCTGTTGAGATATATCCATATACATACCCTCTCAAGAAGGCTCATCTCCTGAAATTCAGGACTTGTGTTGGCCAGGCGTTGCAGAGTGTGGGTCAGGTCGTAGTCTGTTGCAAAGTAGAAGCTGTCTGTGTGTAGTACATTGCTGATCATGGACAAGAAGGTCTTGTCGTCTAGCATCTTTAAAAAAAAAAGAATGAAAAGTGAGCGCCACAGGACAAAACAGAGGCTTTTTGCAGCATGTTATGCTTGCTGCTAAATCTTGAATAATCATGTTAATAGCAATGTAGGCAATACATTTCCATCTGTTTTATTTATTGGTGTTTATGATTGACACAAGAGACAACAGAAACATCAAAAGTGAACCAAGAACTCTGGTACAAGTTCAATCATGGATGTCAAAGAGGGACATTCCACCTGGTTGTCAGTTAGATGTAGTATTGTCTTCTTATAAGAGATGACATCAAAGTCCAGAGCCTTCCATACAGCATGGCCCAGTAGGTCCCCCACCTTCTTCTTCTTCGTGATGATGATCATGTACATACCTAACACAACCATTGAAGGATGAGGATATTAGATTTGTCCAAGACCAGCTATTTCACGGTTTACTATTACTACATACCTGCCACCAAGCGTATTGTCCCCATGAGTCCACATATTGGCCTGGTCTCAGCAGATGCAGGAATGTCCTTCTTAACTGTGGACGATAGCAGGGACATGCAAGCGCAGTAGTTAGTGTGCACAAAATCCAAATGTTAATATGCAAGTACCATTCCAATAAGTGAAGATTAATTCATCCATGAATAGTGATCTCGCACATGGTTGGTTTTGAATGTTATCAACAAAAAGAATGCCTACTTGTGAGCGTCATCTCAGTTGACACCCTATCGATGGCCAGCACGTCCTCAGAGCCATCGTCACAAGCCTCGATGTAAAATTTATCAGTTGTAGTACGCCTGTAATGGGAAGAAAAACAGCTGCTAACACCTCATGCTTCATTCTCGCAAAATAATGCAATTTAACAGAAACAACCAACAACTGTTAAGAAGGGCAATGTCTGAGGCTAACGCGTATGTATTGGCTAAAAACAGATGGCGCCATTCCACAAAACATTTGAATATATAATCAGGTAGCAAAGCCACAAAAACTTTGTCGAGTGTCAAACGTGTTTTCATCGCGGAACCGGGGACGTACGCGTTAAAACGACTGTACGTCATTCGATTCAACCTGACATTATTTCGCTGACTTAGTCGTTCAGGCAGTATCACAGATGCCTAATTGTTTTAAACTGCAAAACAAAGCAAGGCTGTATTAGTACGTTCCCAGCACTCACAAATTGAAACTCTCATAGGTGCTCGCCATTTTTCATTCAGTAACCTCGTCCGTGACGTGTCAGCCCCAAACGTCAACTTCCGTCATCAACAGTGGGGGACTCATTGTTACTGCGCATGCGTTAAACAGATTTCATAAACAGCTGAGATGATCGTACTATCTCTCTCTCTCCCTCGATAGATAGATAGATAGATAGATAGATAGATAGATAGATAGATAGATAGATAGATAGATAGATAGATAGATAGATTTCACAATTTTGAACATTAAATATCTCGTCTTTGCAGTGTATTCAATTAAATTTAGGTTGAACATGATTTGTAAATTGGGTGGCCCGGTGGTCGAGGGGTTATCGCGTCAGCCTCACAGTAAAAAGGTGCAGGGTTCGATTCCGGCTCTGGCCTTCCTGTGAGGAGTTTGCATGTTCTCCCCGTGACTGTGTGGATTTTCTCCGGGTACTCCGGTTTCATCCCACATTCCAAAAACATGCATGGCAGGTTGATGGAACACTTTCAATAGTCACTAGGTGTAAGAGTGAATGGTTGTCTCTATGTGCCCTTTTAAGGGCCATTCATGCTCATAATTCCCAGTGTTCCTAAATTAAAGGAAATCTGCAAGGAAAAGTCAGGGGAAAATATTTCCACTGAGATGTGAAAGACTTATTTCCAAATGCAGAAATCGGTTGATTTCAGTTGCCACTGCTGAGGATGGCTCAACGCGTTATGAGGTTTGGGGGTACTTTTTCCACACGAGGCAAGGTAGCGTTTTTTTTCTCCTTAATAAATACAATCACCAGGTATGCCGTATTTTATTTTTACTTGTCGGATATGTACATGTATTTGGTGATCTTAAACGTTGATCGTGAAGCGTGAAAATTATGGAAAAAACATCAGTACAGTATTTGAGAAGAGGGAAAATACCTATTTACAGCACGTTTTCCCCTTCCAAACAAAATTACGGCCAATAGAGGGCAATGAGAATTTGAAAACCCAGACAAACAGCCCTTAGAGGGAACAGAAGAAGAATATGAGCGACGGAAGCAGTCGTGCTGTTCGTCCGGTAGTCGCCCATGTGCTTGGGGATTGCTAGTAATCGCTGACGTACTGGGGAAGAAGACAGAAAATTTCTGTGTCGTCGACTGAGCTCTTTAAAAGCGTAGCGTAACATGAGGCCAGGTAAAGAAAATAACATTGCATTTTGGAACTTCTTTGTTCTTTCACTGCGTCATTGTTATCCGAATGCGCGAACCTACACGTGGCCCTGCTTCCTCGTCAACTTCATTAGGCGATACAAGCTCTCCATTAAACGTATCTGTAAATGTTCTTCTTTGTCAGATACGATGCACAATAGTCTAGAAATTGTATATGAATTGGTTACCGTGGGATAAATAACTAAGGTGATCCGCCATGATGCCTCAACTCACGTGTTGCACTTCTTCTCAACCCTGAACACCCAAATATCTAAACCACAATTTCAAGTATGCTGGCTGGGTGGATTTGTTTTTAAATAAATAAATCTACGTGTTAATCTCGCAAAGGTGAACAGTAATAATGATCGATGTAGTTTTCTTCGTAGATTGATTGAAATGCTTAGTACCATATTAAATCGCATTCAGAACTATTTGTTGCAAAACACACACCTGGTGTAAAAGTGCTTTTTGCTTGTTTTGTTCCGACTGCCGCGAGATATTCAAGTCAGCAGTTCGTGTAGATTTGCTTTAATTATTACATTTTAAAGTTAATATTTAGGGTTAAGTCGTGAATAAGGCGTGGTATGTTGATTATGGTATCTGCAACAAATATCCTCTTGTTGTTTGGCTACTGTTTATGCCCTTGATGTTGTGACCAGTCACAACCTTGATGTGTCAATTGCTGTTTATGTCTATGAGCTTTCTCGGTCAGAGTGACACCTCTCGTGTCTTCTACATTCAGCCCTAATTTCGTAGAAAAAAAATAGTTTTCAACTTATGTATCATTTCTGCTTCTGGGTCCAAATTCTGCTCCTCACATGACATGTAACCCCTTCTTTATGAGGAGAAGCATCTCCCATGGAACTCCTCATTTCCACAAACACTTGAGTCACAGTCAATTTTGTGCATTTTAGTCACCAACATAGTCTTAGTTTAATGTTTCAAATGCAATTTCTGTTATACCCATCGTATTTTCACTACTGTTTGCTACCATATATTGTACTTACCCAAAAACTTTTTAATCCAAAAGGACAAGGGAGCCTAAAATGTTTTGAATGATGTGCGATATTCTGTTGTTACCCTTTTTCTCTCAAATGTATATTAAATCAAATATTAAGCATTGGTAAATACACATTTCTGATACAATTACCACATTTTTACCAAATGTTACCTTTTTATACAGTGAATTGGGAATTTCTCCATTGCGAGACTAATGAAGGATTTCTTATCTTATAACCTTTTATTTTAGCAGCTGCAATATTTTGGTGCATATGCAGTTAAGTTAAAAAAATAAATTATATGGTCATGTGTAAATGTTAACTGTTTTGCAGTTTTGAAACATAACCCAAATTCAAATGTGTGATTTCTGATGATATTCCACTGTCTCCGCTCCTTGGACAGGGTTCAGTCCCCGAGGAGGTCGCGGCAGAGGAGGATTCGGTGACCGTGGAGGGCGAGGAGGATTTGGTGATCGTGGAGGCCGTGGCGGATTCAGAGGAAGAGGTAAGACTTGAGGAATTTAGGAGTACAACACTTTGGGAAATGGCCAGTTGTTTTTTTTTTTTTATCCTTTCAAATCAATTAAAAAGAATTGTGAATCCAGATTTTGAAGATTGTACAAACATTCTGATTATTGCATTACACTTTGAGATGAAATTTGTTTTTCTTAACCTTTTTTTAAAGGACACAGTGGAAATTCCAATTCAACTGAGATTGTCTCACAGCGGAACACTTTTGTGTATGTTTCTGTGCAATAGATGATTTGACAGGTTAAACTTGACGTCAGATGCAACTTTTGTTTCCCCAAGGTGGATTCAGATCTCCAGAGGGAGGAGGATTCAGGGGCCGTGGAGGAGGCAGAGGTACCCCAAGAGGAAGAGGCGGAAGGGGGGGTCGAGGAGGCTTTGGAGCTGGAAGAAAAGTTTTGGTGGAGCCACATAGACATGAAGGTTGTTCCTCCTGTTTTCTGTTTTTTTTTCTGTTTCCTCTTTTTTATTCTACATACACACATAAATACATAGCTGACTTTCAATGTTAATTTGTCTAATAACTTACAAACCTACTCAGTTCAGTCAGCAACATTGCTATTGACAGTGAGGTTTTTTTTAATCTCAATTAAAAGGGTAATACATCTGTTTATCGCAGTATAAAATCAATGTACAGTACTACCCCACTATTTAAGGATTATAAGGACAGAGCCGTGCTGTGTAACGTGTTTGACGCCCCCTAAAAATGTTGATTGTGTAATTGCCTATATTGATAGTTTCAATTGTAAATATGTCTCAATGATCTAAAAATTGTTAATCATTTCAAACATGTCTTGTATGACCCAAAAAACTACCTACAGATTATTTGATTGTAAAGACTATTGTAAATTCTTGCGTCCATGTAACTGCTTTGGATCTTAGGGTGTTGGGCGGCCCGGTGGACGAGTGATTAGCACGTCGGCCTCACTGCAAAGGTGCAGGGTTCGATTGCAGCTCTGGCCTTCCTGTGTAGAGTTTGCATGTTCTCATTGGAATTACAACAACACATTGATGATGTTAAATCTTGTTTGTCTCCTAAGGGGTGTTCATCTGCAGGGGCAAGGAGGATGCTCTGGTGACCAAGAACATGGTGGTAGGAGAATCTGTGTATGGAGAGAAGAGGATGAGTGTGGAGGTGAGTCTGAAGTGCATTTTTACCGTTGTTGTTGTTGCAGCAGCCTAATCTGTGTTGCTACTTCTGCATTATTTGTTTTTACTCTTCATCAGGAGGGAGAGACGAAGATTGAATACAGAGCATGGAATCCATTCCGTTCCAAGCTGGCAGCAGCCATCTTGGGAGGGGTTGACCAGATCCATATAAAACCTGGAGCGAAAGTAATGTACCTGGGGGCTGCCTCGGGTACAACAGTATCTCATGTCTCCGACATTGTTGGGCCGGTGAGTGTTGTCCCTCTGTCACATTGTCACAACGTACATGTCGAATTTTACTTCTTGCGACACACACATGTGACTGATGTCAAATGATTAATTGATTGTTCAACTCAGGGCTGCGGGGGAAATCATATGAGCTATTTTCATACGTACACATAGAATGATACATTATGTGTATATATAGATTGGTGATTTACCTGTCAATATTTATTGTTACACAATGGTTAAAAAAATACAAAAATAACTGATAAAGTGATTTGCCCCAAGTCTACACGTATCAATCACTCTATCTGTGTGGACCTGAATGACTTGAAAACAACGCAATCGGGCAGACAAATGGTGTTGACAGGTACACCATATGATTAACTGGAATGAAATAGGTCCATATTTTGCATTTTATGCAACACCGTTGATCGACTAATGCCATAAATGCATGATCTGTCAGGAACCGTACTGATGGGATACGTAAAATAAGACATTACAGTATACACAACCTCCTTCACTCCGCGGTCGTTCTGTGCTGCCATTGTATATGTGATGTATAGCACCACCTTGTGAGAGAGTATTGTTTTTTGTTTTTTTTTTCCCCCCCTCAAAACTTCCTGACTAATCCCAAAAACCCTGACCATAAATCTTAGCGATGTCAGACCTAATGTATGAAGCCGATTGCAACAATGCTTCAAACACGTATGTCCTTGCTATGATATGGCTGATGAGTTTTGCTCTGGACTGATTATGGTGGCTGACAAACTTGCGTGTCTATGCTTCAAAACCCCAAGCAATTAATTATTTAAATGAAATTTCCCCTCTGTGGCCCATTTTTTTCCCCCATTTCATATTTTGAATCTATGCCTAAAATTGACAGATAAAATATCAGGCATTTTTTGTTGGATTTAAAAATAAATTGTCCGTCACTTTTTCATTTTTGGATAGCAAACGATAGGCGTAATTCTCGGAAGGCCGATTTTATTTATTTCTTCCTCGCCAATTGTCCAGCTCAGATGGTTTCAGCTCAATTACTTGTTTTGCAGCTGGCTTTGCTTATCCTTGAATCATAAAGAAGGCAAGGGAGTTTATCTATTTTTATTTTTCTGAAATTGTGTGGTAGTCCAAAGAAGGCCCTGTTGCAAACTTTGTCGAGTCCGACCTCACATGATCTTTCTCATAAATGGGCAAAAAGTTACACACATTAAAATCTTGACTGAGAAGGATCATGTTCCATATCACTTCATGCAGATGTTGTTACGTATACACATGCAACATACTGTGTTGCAGGAGGGGCTGGTGTATGCTGTAGAGTTTTCTCACAGATCAGGTCGTGATCTCCTCAATGTGGCAAAGAAACGCACCAACATCATACCCATCATTGAAGATGCTCGTCACCCACACAAGTACAGAATGTTGGTTGGTAAGTCGACTCTGCTTAAGGAACAGCTCAAACCAATCAACTGTAATGTCTATGTCTGTAAATTGCGATTTCATTTATTTATTTCAATTTGAATAGAGCTTTTAAGATTTTATCAAGATTTTGTCGAATTCATATGATTTCTCTGTAAGATTGTGTTCTATGGATGTTCTTCCCCTATAAAGTGCTGCGAAAAAGCAGTTGCCACCCTCCCGGATTTCTGCGTTCTTTGCATAGTTATCACACACAAAGGTTTCTGTTCATCAAACCAATTGGAATATCACACAGAAACAAGCTGTTCGACCACTCCTGGAAATGTTTAGCACTGTTCCCAGTTATATCGATTTGTAGATAATGGCTCTCACAGTGATTTACTGAAGACCCGGAGTCATAGAAATGGCTTTATAACCTTTTCCAAACTGGTGGATTTCAATAACTTTTTATGCAAATTTCTTCTTTAATTTCTTTGGATCGTGGCATGATGCGTTTGTTTCTTGAGATCTTGTAGCCTACTTCACTTTGTCTGACAGATTCCATTTATGATTTCTTGATTCAACAAATGTGGCACTAGGGTGTTGCCTGGGAAATTGAACTCAGCGTTCCCAAAACTATCGTTAGTCACAGTAAATTAAATTGGCATTTAAAAACTGCATTTTGTATTTCCTTTGGACGGTCTGTATGATATTAAAAATGGTTTGATGAACAAAAGCCTTTGTATGTGATAAATACGCAAAAAAACAGAAATCAAAGAGGCAAATACTATTTCACAGCACTGTAGTGTTTTGGGATTTAAATTTTAATGTTGGATTTTTTTTTTTAATAATTAAATCCCTCTTGGTATGTGCACTTAAGTTGCCTACATACTGAAGCCTTGTTGGCAACAGGTTAGTTTTGGTAGACCTGTGCTAGAATAATGTATCATGGTGTCATCTGTGAGGATTCTAAAATTATGCACAATATCGGTGAGGGTGTGTAATACAGTATATGCTCTGTTTCTATTTAGGAATGGTGGATGTCATTTTCGCTGATGTTGCCCAGCCAGACCAGACTAGGATTGTTGCCTTGAATGCTCACAACTTCCTGAAGAATGGAGGACACTTTGTCATCTCCATAAAGGTACACTGATTACTATCTTAAGTTATTCTTCTTAACATTGAAGAGGTTATGTTGTTTGTCATGACATAGAAGATGGAAAAGAAAACATGTCTGTAGAAATTTGATAGTTTCATTTAAAGTTTAACTTAGCTAGAATTTTCAAACTATATTGACAGGTTGTATGACTTCTTGCTCACAATTAGTGACTAAATGTGGATGACACTGACACACTAAGCTTGAGGAAATATCCTGATATGAAAGTTGAAATGTCAGTTGAGGAGTAGACGCAAACTCGTTTTGGGTTTGAAGTTATCAAACACAATACAGCATAACACCAGTCTAATGCTTGGGCATCTTTCAACTTTATGTAAACAGGCGAACTGTATAGACTCGACTGCTGCACCAGAGGCTGTGTTTGCCTCAGAAGTAAAGAAGATGACAGCAGAGAATATGAAACCACAGGAGCAGCTCACGCTGGAGCCCTATGAAAGAGATCATGCTGTGGTAGTGGGCATTTATAGGTATGTGTCCTACTGGGTTTAACAGCTCCATCTGCTGGACCAACCTTAAAGCTGAAAGGTCTCATCAAATGTGTAGGTGAAAATACTGGATTTGCAAGTCTACAACTTGTGCTCTATCTGGTTTATTGGTATTCGTCTCTCAAATGGTAGATTTTTGCTCAGATTTCACCCCTTTCATATTTACTGTGTGTGTTTAGTAAGTTTGTAGAAATTGTTCTCGTAAGGTTTTAGTTGTATTACTTGATCTTGAATTCTCACAGCTGCTCGATTCCCATAGTTTCCCCCACCACCGCCACTTTCATGTCCGCATGCTTCCCTGAGTTACATCCGCCTTTCCTCTATTTAAGCAACGTGTCGGCACAACATCAATCAGTCAAGCGCAGCGCTCATCATAGTCACAAAACAGCATTCAGATTTTGGAACTCGGTGCATAGATAAGGCGCTCTGTCCATTTTGGAGAAAATTTAAGTCTTAACTGCGCCTCACGGTCGTGAAAATACGGTACCTGGATTTCTGCATAAATTGGCTATCAAATGTAATCAGAACTTCATCCCAGTCACAACAGAAAAGTCTAGTGTGCGCACACCAATACTACATAACTGTTTTCCACTAAAACGGTTCTTGTGTATTCATGGCAGTTTACTAATGCTATTAGAGCTGAACAGCTATTTGGAGATGGATCTCAAAATTGTTTCTAAACTGTCCAGTTTTAAATGATGCCTTTTTCCGTCCTTCCTCAGACCGCCACCAAAACAGAAGAAATGAGATGTTGACGGAACGCAGGAGCAGCTGTACCATGTACAATCTGTTTATTTACACTTTTCTGTCAGTTTTTTTTTTTTTTAATTAAACTTTTTATTGATTCCAGACGGAAAAGTATTGTGAGTGTATATATATCTATATCCATGGAGCACCATCAACTCCCAGCATCAAAACAAACATAACATCAAGCAATCACCCCGAAAAAAAGGGTGCACGTCAGTTTTGGGTGTTGTCTCTTCAGCTCATCACTGCACAACCACTCAACTTTCTATCAAGACCTGTGCTACAAAACATTTGGGGGCAGTACAGATCGGTGGTCCACTCTTGTAAAATTGTTCATCTAAATTGAACTGGTCAATTTCTGCTGTTTGGTGTTGAACAACTGCAGTGAGTCTAGCTTTGTCTCAACACATGATTCTGAAGTTGAAGGTTTTTTGTGACTAGTATTTTTTTTTGTATCATCTATGTTTTCTGAATATACTTTTTATTCTATTCATTTGCCTTCGTCCCTTGCTTCTGATCCTACAAAACACATATTTGGTACAGCACAGTATATACAAAGTTTATTGTACCAAGTTGTTGACTCTGGACCACTAAATGTGAGTATGGCAGATTGTGATGAAGCCCCTTCAAGTAACTTCATCAGACCAGTTAGGGTGGTGCAGTCATTACTGCCCATGTGGACACACAGGGTGACTAAATATTGAAGTTTCATAGCAAGTTAACATCAGTTGGCAAGTATTAAGTATTTTAAGGGGTGTGGGGTCTTGAAACAGTTACTTGCATAATTGTGTTTAGTTTGTCAATCTGATGAAAGCTACTTGTAAGACTGTTTAAGGACATATACTCTTTACACTGTAAATAAGACCCATTTTCATGTAGTTGTTGCTGTGGAGTTTTCCCCAATGCAAGCTAATATGGTGGTTCAGTCAGTGGAGGTACAGAAGACGTCCATCAAAATCGTCCCCCTAAAGTTCCTTGTCATCTCTGCAGAGCCATGACAACAAAATCGAAGCCCACAACGTCACTATTTTGGGACGGCATGACCTCTGACACTGAGGACTTGTTGATTGGTTTTAAATTGCAATTTGCAACATGAACTGAGAAGGCTTTTCATCGCTCCCAAACTTTTTCGAGCACTAGGATTGACCATGATATTTTTACGAACGGTTTTGTTAATGGGCTGAATTTACTGAACACCCGTTACGATCGAACACATTTCTTGGAATCTTGCAACTATGAGCCGTGGATTTGTTTTGGCAGCCATTTTGTGGGAATTTTCTCTGGAACGCGCGGGACCGTGCTTGCTTGGCATCGGGAATGCGCCCCCAATGCAGCCCCTCTCCTTCGACTGATATTAACATCACGGAGGGGCTGTCCAGCCCACAGCTAGCTTTAGCCTTGCCTACCAAAATTAAGGGAAGTTTTTTTCCTTAATCTTTGCTTTTATGGTCAATCAGTCTATTGGCTAACTCCTAAAGGCTAAAATGGGTTGTATAGGCTGGCTTCCACTTTAATTCCAATGTCAATGTTTTATTAGCTTGCGTGTCAGCTAATAGCTATCCAATGTTAGCCTTTCACATAACTTAAATAAGCTAACGGAGTCATGAACCAATTGGTTCTTACTCTTATCGAATAATGATTTAATCGTACGTGTTCACTGGAAAACCTTCCAAGGAGATTACATGGACAAACTGACAGGATAGGGTTCGAGGTGTCCGTGGTTGAGGCGGTGGGCTGCTCACCTCCCCTAAGGCACGGCTAAATGAGTTGCGCCGGTTAACAGCCCCCCTCCGACACGCTCCATTCGATCTCCAAAGAATAAGAATTAGCCGGAAATCAATATCCTCGGGATTTATCGTTAGTGTATTCTGTCGTGTATTGGGATTTCTCTGGCGGAAGACGGGCAACTGGGGAGGGGGACTCTGCTCTTGTGGACGGAGGGAGAGTGGGGTTCTGAACATGGCTGCTTCGCGGAACTTGGTTCGACACACCGCCTGAGGTAAGCAGTTGCCGGTCTTCGTTTTCTCTTGGTCACACACCTGCATGGAACATTGGCTGAGTGGCTCTTAAAAGCGTTTGAATATTTGTGCACGAGTCTTGACGATCAATGAGGGCTCATCAGCAATCGGTAGCATCATGTTACTGGTCCCTGTCAGCCGGCCTCTTGTCATCTCTGGCACTGATCATCGGAAGGGTCATGTTCACGACGGAATGGGCTGGATGTGATACAACAGATTGCTTCGGACAATAGAACTCGTTAACTACTCGGACTTGACAGTCTCATGTAACCACGGAACCAGAGACGCGTAATGTGATAAATGACTGTCACCCAGATTTCACGTCATGCGGTGTCCTCTAAGATTAGCTATATTAACGCCGCCTCCATGCCGTTAATTGTAAGACTTTCTCGCGGCTAACCTACTGGTGAGTGGACTGAGCGAGTGGTTATAGCCGCACATAGTCTGATTGAACCACCCGTGTGTGCGTTCAGGCAAGTTTCAGTCATAGTGATACTGCGACCTGCCTCAAGTTGCAACGCACGACACCAGGCGTGGAAGAGGTTGCCGGCAGAACAAATCGGAAGAGGAGATGTGAAATTGTGAATTTTAGCGTCGTGGGATGGCTAAAATTGGTGGTTCTGTGCTTAAGATAGCAAAAAGGATTGATTTGGTATTTTGGCGCTTCTTGATGTGTCACGTATGAGCCACACAGCTCCCCGGCTGTCCTCTGTACATTCCGCAGCATTTCATCTGCTATGGCAGCTAATTGCTAGTTGCTAGCCTAGCAACCGCATCAGCTCCAGCCCCTACCCTGCCCTGGAGTAGAGCCGGGAGATGGTTACTCCATGTACTTGTTGGAAGGCTGCTTGTATTGGCCATTCCTGATGCTCACTGAGATTTCTGAACATAGATTATTGCACAGCGCAAGATGCTGCAACGCATATTCGTTTGGGTATTCTCAGCTAACCCAGTTTCTACTTAACAGGTTTGCCTTGCTGTCGGCTTCTTGGTTCATCCCGTTTTATTTTATTGCACTGTTTGCCAAGGGGAGTGAAGGATTCATTCTGATCGACGTGCAGATTATTTCCAAGTTGCATGCTACACAAAGAAACAGACTACACTCCACAGATGGGAGAGCTGTCAATAGTGATCTAACTGTGTTCACTGGGTTTGGTGCCTTGCTCACAGACACATTGACACTTCAGGAAGCTGACTAGCAACAGCTCTTTGTAATTGGCCATAATTTTGGGGATTTGAACTTTTCAAATCACATCCAAAGATGTGCTTTCTCTAAATTCTCTAAGTATAAGTCGAGTGTCATTGGACCGTTAGTCCAATTCATAGTCGTATTTGTCAATCGCCTAGTAATGTAATCATTATAATGTACTCATAAACACTAATCAACATGTTCAGTGAAATAGCTGATATTTTGAGCAAAACATCTTAATGCAACCTAACAGGATGAATCGTGGGTTTTTGTTTCGGCCAGACTCTTACTGCAGAGTCAGTTTTAGATTCTCCACACTCTGCTTTAATATTACACACCATCTTGAGTTTGTCTTTTGACAACAAACCATCATTTAACTCGATTACTGACATGACATGAATTACACTGTGCACAGTGGAACCTTTTAGGTCAAACATGATCCACAATCAAATCAACGTGATTTGTTCCAGGGTCAGACTGGTGCTATAATAACATTTTAGTTTCAGGATGTTTTTAGGGCATTTTTATCATGTATGATAATTGCCATACAGTTTATAAAAACATCTACTGGTAATGTTAATCAACATCCAAACCAAAACTGTGACAATGAGGACATTCGAAGTGGCATGTGTCACATGTGCGCCTCATACATCTCTTTTTAATGTTTGGCACACAAATGAAAAAATAAGATAACACTGTTTAAAAAAACAAAAATCAGTTTTGGTCATCTTAGACAAAATTATTCTAACATTGAATGCTAATACACTAATTTCGTTCCCTGCTGGTGTGTATTTTATTTTCTCATGTTTTTCTTTTAACTAGTTGTATTCTTTCTTTGGAGTAAAACCCTATTTGTACTTTGAACAGTGTCTTACCAGTTTGGGATGACTGTTCTTGGGATTGATATGTTTCAATTGGCAAAAGTAGACTCAACAATTAAAATGTATTATTTCTAGTATCTGATCAGCCAGAGTTCCAAATGGTGTTGAGCCGATAATTGGTTGAGCAGGTATATTATTGTTGTGCCATTCTTATGTGTGGATACACAAACTGTAAAAGACAAAACATACACCCACGCAGGCGAATGTTTGCTTTGCTTTACTCCTCAGTCTCCACTTTGCTGCAGTGGTTTGTTTTTTAGTTGCCTTTTTCTGCTCTCAAATAAAAGGAGTCACATGCCAAGAAATAAATACAGGACCATAGTAGTTCACTGTTGTTGTTCTTTGTTTGCTTGTTATATTTACTTTCATTTTAAAACAGCTGTCGCATGTGTCTATGATAGAATAAGGTGAACATTTTCAATTTACACAAAAGTAAAACTTAAAATAAAAAAATAGTTTGCGGGGCTAACTTTGTGCTAAGATCAAATGATACAAATATTGTTATTTGCATGTATTAAAAAAAAACATCACCAAGAAACAGTTGTAGTACTGTATACAGTGAACCCTTGTTTATCGCAGGCGTTGCATTCCAAAAAGAACTCGTGATAGGTGAAATCCGTGAAGTAGTCAGCTTTATTTTTATTTTTTTACAATTATTAGACAATACTGTACTATAGAATAACACAATTTAAAAAAAATGAAAATCTGAACATTTTTGTACAAATAACTATGATCGTTTTTAGAAATACTTTAAAATAATACAGTGGTGCCTCTACTTACGAACGTCTCTTCATATGAAATTTTCAAGTTATGAAACGTCTCAACAGGAAAATACTGCCTCTTGTTATGAAAGAAATTTAAAGACACGAAAGGTAAAACTACAGAATGGCCTGATACTCGAAGCTCCGAGTTTCCTGAACGCAACATACTTATAGCTGCTCTGCCTTTGGCTATTACCGAGCATCATCCTGGCATCCCATTGGCTAAGAGGGACTTCTACCGAATGTGTCCATGTGTGTAGATAGATATGTGTTTATGCAGCGTCCTCGTCATTTGCCCCTCAGGCCATGAGGTGTTCCGACAGTTTTACGTAAATGTGAATCGCCTAGAAAAAGTGTTCACCAGTCGGGTGATCGCTCAGTATGCTGATGTTTTTGAAAGATTGTTAAAAGCTGACAAAAGCAAACGTCTTTGGATCAGTTCTTTCCAAAACGCCAGGCAAAAACCACTTCTAAGAGAGAACATGAACTAAAGATGGCAAAAAACGATGAGGACGCGGTTAAAAGTTAAATAACCATCATTTTTTATTCTTTACTCTTATTTGTTTTTTACATTATGCACAACTCTCATTTATTGTGCAATAATCTAATTGTAACATGTATTTGCTACATATTTTGATGCAT